TGGCACATTCTCTTTAGACATTATCACGGTTTTTCAATTCAATACATGCATGAAATATTTGCCACTGGACATTAAGCAACCAATAATCAATCAATTCATTCATGACGAAATAGATCAATTTCCCCAAGAAAGTTAATAAAAATCACCAAGTTGCCTTAATTTCCCTTCACAATAATTCATAGTACACACTTTTTTTGTGTACAAAGTATAATTGCATATGGTTGATAAATTATTACAATTTTACGATAGCGTTGTACTCTAATCAAGGTAAAAGAACCGTATGTGTTACTCTTTATTTAAAATAAAAAAAAAATTGCAATTGTCAAGAACATTTTTTAGATCCAAAATTTTTAATAGCAGGATATCTAAAAACCAATGTGAAAACTAATTACAAACTATTTAATTTAATTTGGAACACAGCATGTTATTTCAAAATAGCCAATGGCAATTTTTTTTTTCATATCTTGATTACGATACAATGAAATCTTACCCTTGTGGTCATTCATGCGTAGTTTAATACTTAGTACACGGAAAAAGTATGTACTATGAAAATTAGAAGGCATAATCAAGCAATATGATTGGACGAGAAGTTGTAAGTATGTGCTAAATTTATGTATATATCTATATGTATATATAATTAACTAAAAGACTTTTCTTTTTGTATAATGCTTTTATGTCCAGGGGAAACCGTTACATGTGCGTGTGATCCTTTTTGTCTCTTTGACCAAAGATAGTTATACATGTAGTCATAAACTAAATTGCAGTACTTGTCGATATACCATTCTTTTATATCACAAATTTGGGTCTTTTACTTACAAAACTTATTTTCTTGTTGAAGAATGAATGGTGCCCATTATTTCAATTTTTTGTCCTTTGTTTGTGTCTCACAACCAGATCCCCTTTTTCTTCCTATTTAAAAAAACATACGAGATGCCATCAGTACCAATTCATGACACAAAATAACGGAGTTAAACTTACAACAGAAGAAAGAAAAGGAAAATGGCTTTCATGGTTGTACTTAATCTAGAAGTCACAATGTGGTCTTTGGTATTGGAAAAAGTGACGTTGTGAAAATAATAACAATATTTCAATTTAAAACCATATTAAGGTGTTGCTTTTTTCCGTTGCGAGCAAATTTTGACCGCATTTTTAAAATTAATTTCCTAACTGTTCTAGATGTTGTAATCCTGTTGGTAGCTGCACTGCGTAGTTTATTTTTCTTGTATTGTTTAATGACAAATATAGTCGAGATATACAAAAAAGGGGAAGGAGTTACATTTTAAACTAGATTAACACCACCACACATTGTGCCGGTATTAAGTCGGACTGGAAAGGGGGTGTGGGGGTGTTCCATGTTACATATATAATATACTCATTTTCATTGCGATCTTAAAAAGGACGAAGTTGATATATAAACTGCCGTGCATTATTGTGTGTGTGTAAGTTGCGCCGATTTTTTTTTTTAATCAAATTGATTCTAAAAATAATTGGGAAGAAAAAAAACATACTTTGTTTCAGAAAAAAGATTAAAATTAAAATAAGGGACGGGAAAAAAATACGACACTGAGATTGAAAAAGTAATGTTCATGTATGTGCATGAGAAAAAAAATCCTCCCCCCCCCCCCCCCCAAAAAAAACAAAAAAACAAAAAAACCACACACTCAGAAAAGGAAGAATAGTCGTTGCATAATCATAAATACGTTTCTGTTGCCAAGGGTTTTTCACAAGTACAGTAGTTAGCAGAAAAGTTCCAGTTTCCTATATACACCAAACTATACAGTTTACCTATTTCGTAAAGTAAATGCAAATTTCATAAGGCTTGGTCAAAATAGCTTTTTACTGTCCAATATCCTGCAAGTACGAAAAGGACCGTACGAAAGTATATTTTGTCTATGTTTTGTAATTGCACAACTATTAAAAGTTAATTATGCATTTGTTCTAAAATAAAATTTTACACAAGATAAAAGTTAAAAGATACTAAGTGAAAAAAATTAGGCAACTGCAATGGTTAAATCGCGTTGACGTTCGAAAAAGATAATAGCAAACACACACATTGTAACTTTTGAAGCTAGTTAAATTCATTTTTATGTTTAAAGAACGTGTGATATCATAAAAAAAGGTTTATCAAAACATAAGAAACACGCCAATAAAGAATGTTTACGTTATGTAAGTATTCAATATTAATCAAAACACAAGGGTTATTCCTGTACTAGTTTTTAGAATTAGTTGATTTAGGCGTTGAAAACTTTTGGCGACCACACAGTTTAAATGTCTAAAATAAGTACGACGTAATAAGTGGCCGTTACAGACGAACGTTCACTTAATCTGACCCAGTCAATTGTAGACCCGAGCTCGCCAAGAAATGGTCTCGTCCACACTGTTATGAAAACGATAACATTTCACAATATCACTTTCATTAATGATTGAAAAAAAAAAAAAATCATATTTTAATTTTTTTTATATTTTATATCTCTTAGCTAATGTCCCTTTAAAATGAGAGAATTTATAAAATGGCACAGGTCATAAGGGGTCAAAATGATCGCTATTTCAACCAGAGTTCAAATTAGTGGATGTAAGCAAGTATAGGCCCCCGTATGGCCCGTAAAATCACAAACAGTATAGTCGGCTTTATAAGGCCCCGACATGAAAAATGTGAAACAATTCAAACGAGAAATTTAACGGCCTAATTTATAACAAAATTATTTACGAAAAACAAATATGACCGACACGAACCAACGACAAGTTTAGCTCGCCTGATCCAAAAGTTCTAAGGAAGTATTGACAACAATAGGTGTTAATCAAATGTTGTCCTCTGAAACCAATGAACCAATTGTAACCAAACTTGTATTTCTAACCTTAAAGTTCGAAGAGTTAGACCCGTCGATAGACAAATATCTATGCTAAAATACATAATATAGAACGAAAAATCGACATTGGTAGTAAAATTAGCTAAAACTAAATGAATAAATTTAATGTTTTCATGGCCCCGCTGACTTAGGTCGGGGTCATATAGTTTTAGCCTTGTCCGTCATTCCGTCATTCCGCTACGAACCGTTATACGGACTTTTTTTCTAAACGCCTTCACATATTAAGCAGATTTTTAGAATGTGCATGAGTAAACTATGATGAGTTACAGATCGAGTTTACGTTTGCATGGTTCCGCACCGCTGTTTTTTGCCAAAATTACGGGCTTTGGACTTAAGAAAATTTCGTGAAAATACGTTTGGTTTCGCTCCGTTGATTTTTAGAAGAAATACAGGCTTTGGAATTTTAAATTTTAAAAATGGCTTCAAGCTTGTTTGTGAGCAGGGCCATTCGTGTCGTTCCGACACATCTATTTTTCTCTTATGGTTGTGGCTTGTTATCTATTTTCCGAAATTAAATCCCTAGAGGTTATATGAAGCGGTATACAATTCTCACTCGTTATGAAACCTATTATAATAGTTGATGGCGAAAATTGCATTCAAACAATGCTACCACTATTATTTTTTTCATTGGATTGCTGTCTAATTGACGTATTCACACATTTCCCTCATTCATATGTAATAAAGCTTCCTCTTACTCCATGTAACAGCAGCCATGGTATTGTCTATCGACGTGCTTTTTACATGTTGTATCGAACTTTTTAGTCGGAAAAAGAAAAATTAGCACACTTATTGTACCGTAAGCAGGTTAGAAGAGCTTCACATTCTGTTTTTATACGGCCGCAAAAAAAAAAAAAGCGGTCGTATATTGGTATGACGTTGGCGTCGTCGTCGTCGTCCGAAGACACATTGGTTTTCGCACTCTAACTTTAGTTTAAGTGAATGGATCTCTTATGAAATTTTACCATAAGGTTCAATACCACAAAAGTAAAGTTGGGATTGATTTTGGGGGTTATGGTACCAACAGTTAAGGAATTAGGGGCCAAAAAAGGGGCAAAAAATAAGCATTTTTGTAACTTCCAGACATAACTTGTGTGTTAGTGTATGGATCTCTCTGACATTGTACCACAAGGTTCAATATCACAAAGGGAATGCTGGGATTGATTTTGGGGGTAATTGCCTTAAAATTTTAGGAATTAGGGGCAAAAAAAGGGGCAAAAAACAAGCATTTTTCTAGTTTCATGACAATAACTTGTGTGTAAGTGTATGGATCTTTCTGAAATTGTACTACAAGGTTCCATATCACAAAGGGAAAGCTGGAATTGAGTTTGGGGGTAATTGCCCAAAACGTTTAGGAAAAAGGGGCCAAAAATAAGCATTTTTCTAGTTTCCAGACAATAACTTGTGTTCAAGTGTATGGATCTCTCTGAAATTGTACTGCACGGTATCATACCACTAAAGGAAGGCTAGGATTGATCTTGGGGGTAATTGCCTCAAAATTTTAGGAATTAGGGGCCAAAAAGGGGCAAAAAACAAGCATTTTTCTAGTTTCAGGACAATAACTTGTGTGTAAGCGTATGGATCTTTATGAAATTGTACTACAAGGTTCCATATCACAAAGGAAAAGCTGGGTTTGAGTTTGGGGGTAATTGCTCTAAACGTTTAGGAATTTGGGGCCAAAAAGGGGCCAAAAAACAAGCATTTTTCTAGTTTTCAGACAATAACTTGTGTTCAAGTGTATGGATCTCTCTGAAATTGTACTGCAAGGTACCATACCACAAAGGGAAGGCTGTTATTGAGTTTTGGGGTAATGGATTATAAGGGGGTTCAAAAAATTGGGGGGGGGGGGGAGGGGGGGGGGGGTTTCCTTTTTTTTTCTTTAAAATTTTCCATTTTAAATTGGTTATTTCTGATTTATATATAAAAGCAAATAATAATGATATGGTTTGAATAGGTAAATTAATTTTTTTTAAGTTCTTAGACCACATTCATTCTGTGTCAAATATTTAATCACAATCCAAATTCAGAGCTGTATCAAGCTTGAATGTTGTGTCCATACTTGCCCCAACTGTTCAGGGTTCGACCTCTGCGGTCGTGTCAAGCTGCGCCCCAGCGGAGCATTTTATTATATTGTAGGAACTAGCTGCACATGTAAAGTGTGAACATGAAGTGAAAATCAAAGCAGACAGTAAGTATACTTTTTTTCATTTGAGTCCCAAGTTTTGCATTGGTGGTGGTAGTGGTTTTTTTATGCCATTGTTACTGCCAAATACATCGTAAGTTTCTTTAGCAGAGTTTTAAATGTATTTTGTGTTTTGTTAAAGTTGCAAATATGTAAAACTTAAGTTATATGTATAAAATGTTATAATAGAAAGGAAAGGATACGGGATATCCACCCATGATACAAAATCAGTACACGCACAGCAAGAAACTCAAAAAGCAAAGGAACAGCGCTATTATTGCTGTTCTTCATCTCAAAGTTACATTGAGGCCTTCAACACGATGCAAAATAAAAGTTTAAGACGGCCCCTAGCACCGATTTGAGCGGAATTCTTTGCAAACTGACGATCATGCCAAATTTAAAATGAAGGAAAAAGCCATGGAGTAAAATAAATAAAATAAATCTGGCAAAGAAATCAAACATTAACTGTCATAATTTAGCCCGACGATCACACTGAAGCGTGCAAAAATAACACAAACATTTAGACAACCACGGGGCACATCGAGATATATGTTAGATAACTTGGCAGGAAATAACGTATGTAAAGGGCAAATAATTCGGGTAAACTTATTTACATTATTAATCTTAGGTGACACAGAATAATGTTACGTTATTTCATATAACATATCACGGCCTTGCTGTGTAATTTCTATCTTGTTAAGTAGCATATTTTAAAGGACATTGTAATATGAATTGTAATCTTTCTTTTATCTAATTAGAATGAAGAGATAGAAAATAACCATTGCATTTACCTGAAGTATAAAAATTATACATATTATTGTTATATTTAGGGGCAAACTCGCTTTTACTTGCAATGATCAACACGAGGAAACCACTAGTTGAGCATGAACAGCAAATTTACTGTTTATTCTTTGGGAGCACCATATCCGTTCACCCAGCTTGTTAGTGGGGTTTCATCTTTAGATTTCTGTGTAGTTATCTACATTTAAACGCTAAGTTTAAAACTGGTTGTATATTGATTAGCCCCTAATCAATTTATTTTTTATAGCACTTAATCTGTTACAAATTATTCAACATATGCCAACATTTTTCATACAATTTTATGCCTAAATTTCAAAATGTTGGCATAGGCTGAATAAAGCATTAAACTTATATTTCTCAAAAAAAGTTTTGCAACACTTCCTCTCAAATTAATGGGGTCAAACCTTGAGAGCATATATCTTTGTAGTAAATGCTTAATAAGATCTTAAATTAACAGCATTCCTGATTTTAAGGATATTGAATTGATTAAATAAGTCAGTTTAGAAATCTAAAAAATTATGATAAAAATTTGGGGGTAAAAATGTGCCCCTACCAGTTTTTTTTTAAATTTTGTTCTTGCGAGGGGAATGTGTTAGTTTCTGTTCATATGTTAACAATGATGCCATCAGAATCACCACTTTTTTTAATTCTGTACGTTGTATGCATTTGTTTAACTAGACCATGTGCAAAAAATTGTTAAAATGGTCACTTTCAATTTTGAACTCTTTCCTCTAAGTTTGCGAACAGTGTAGCTGTCTGAAATTTGACCAACATAACTTTAACAAATGTTTGAAGATTAAGGAAGCACAAACTTGAAAGATAAATCAAGATTTTGCTGTACTTTATTTTTAGTCAGAAGTTGTGTTGCTAATTTTTTTCGAGTATATTATACATATTATCGTCTTGATTTGCATGTTAAAATTGTTACTGGACATTATAAAACAATTCATCGTCATCATCATATCAGCAATACGGGTTAGTTATCCTCTCTCACTTTATATTTCATTATACAAAATATAAAAGGGAGTTATTTTCTCTTCTCAACAATGTTTATTACTTTACTTGATTTGCTATATTTCTTCTAGCTCTCCAAAGAGACGGGTTTGGTAATAACAGTTTATTTCATTGTCTTGTTGCTGAAGTGAATAAAGGTATTTTTAGTTATAAACATTCCAATAACTAACAATTGCAATGATAGATTTAGCATTACTAAAAGACAACTAACTTGAATAAGGATTCGATAGCTACATGTCTATAATTTATCTAGTTCAATGAACTTGAACGTTTGTATCAGCATTTTTAATTACTAAAGGAACAATGTTGTAAATGTGAATTTGATAAGAATGTTTTAGTTTATTATAAAAACATGCGTTAAGCATATATTATTGTATGTTTTTATGCCCAAAATTGCCACACATTAATTGGATGGAAATCAACATATATAAGCTGATAAAAATATTCCAGATATGCATCGTCTAATAGGCCAGAAGTTCAGAACTGTATTCATTCATTTCCGACAAATACGACAGAAAATAATGTAACATAAGAACCGAATGTATCAAATAGAAATGCAATGGTCCATGTATGAATGGTAGAAAATAAAAACTTCAACGGATACTAAGTATAATGTCATTGCATCTGAGTTCTGTTTTGTCAAGGATCTTAATTGTAATATAAATAAAAAGCGATGTTGGTTCGTGTCAGTTGGGTAACAAAGAGACAGGCAACAACAAAACGGACATGCAAAAACAGTCCAACAATTATATATTAGTGTCTTCACAATATGTCAAGCTCTAATCTAGTAGAAAAACATTGTGAATAATTTTGACTACCACTCATAAAGATCAACAATCAACTACAAAATCTTCCAAATAACAAAAAAGGGAAACATTTACAAGATAAGATAGTGTTTATCTACCATGTCAGAATTCTGGATCCCAAATAATATCATTCATCTAAATAATGGAATTTATCGAAATCGATTAGAATGCTTAAAAGTACAATGATTCAATTTTTCATTCCTTTCAGACGTAATTGGATATTTGTTATATTATTATACTTATTCCCCTTGGGTTGGTAAAACAGTGTATATGGAGGACTTCTATGTGAAACCTGAACATAGAAATAATGGAATAGGTACTAACTTATTAAAGACTGCTGTCAAGGTAAAACAATATGTCATCTAAACTATTTTTATAATATCTGTGGCAAGAGAGAGGCGAAAGATACCAAAGGGACATTCAAACTCAGAAGTCAAAAATAAACTGACAACGCCATGGCTGAAAAAGAAAAAGACCAACAGACGAACAATAGTACACAAAACACAACATAGAAAACTAAAGACTGAGCAACACGAACCCCACCAAAAACTGGGGTGATCTTAGGTGCTCCGTAAGGGTAAGCAGATCCTGTTCCACATGTGGCACCCGTCGTGTTCCTCGTGTTAGTACAAACCCGGTAATAAGTCTTAATTCGGTAGGTCACATTCGGGGAAAGGGGACGGGATTGTAGTTACGACAATTGGAAAATATCCGCTGTCATCTGGGAAACGTATATTCCATAACGGTCAACCAACTCGTGATGGCGTCCGTAAAATTTATGAAGGGATGATTTCAAGTTCACCACTTGGAACTCTTGGTTTAATAGCTTCTTTGTGAGCAGCAACCCTCTATAAAGGAAATTATGATAGGAAAAACAAGCCCTGGAATATCGCACCAACTGGGAGATATATACTCCTTTACAGGCGCTGCTGGAATGTTACTACATATAAATGGAAAGTTCACAATTGGGAAGCTGAAATCATCCCTTGAAATCAAGTATTCTAAACATGTATACTAAGAAAAGTTGGATCTAAGGATAAGGCATGTCAAAATTAAATGCTGAATATGTGTATTTGAAAAGAAGTTTTATATTTGTAAAAATGATAATTCCCTTCCTTGGTAGACCTAAAATAGAGGTCATGAAATGACAGTGAATGCAGGGAAATGTTAAAATTACTTAACATCATAACAAATTCATGCAAACATGCAGCAAATTAAATGAGAAAAATACTATAAAGCACAAGCATTGACATAAACAAAAGGATATATGTATTTACAAGAGAAATTATTCTTTTTAATTATGAAATAGGTTATAACTAATTTATTACCTAGTTAAAGATTTATTGCAATATAAAATTGTAGCAATTTAGAAAATGAACTAAATTCAAAATATTTTGCAAAAAAGCATCATTCATATTGAACCAATGAACAGTATATTTGGAAACCTAAAGGAGAAGGTATGATAAGACCCCTTGAATCAAAAGGTATTATAAATCTACCAAAGTATAATAAATCTATCAAATATTATAAATCTAGCAAAGTATTATAAATATACCAAATAACACTTCAGTGGCGGATCCAGAACTTTTCATAAAGGGGGGGGGGGGGGGGGGGGGGGACGCTGACTGACCTAAGGGGGGCCCGCTCCAGTCATGCTTCAGTGATTCCCTATATAACCAACCAAATTTTCCCCACGGAAGGGGGCATCACAAGTGACCTTTCTGCACTATTTAAAGATACCATATTACATCAACTTGTCAATTTATTTATTAAACTAACATAAAGAAAATCTTTAATAAATTAACCCTTTTTGAAATTTCAGGGGCCAAATTCATGATAATGGCTGGTATCATACCCCCCTTCATTATAAGTGATGCAATAAAGGCAACAGTAGTATACCGCTGTTCGAAATTCATAAATCGATTGAGAAAAAACAAATCCGAGTTACAAACTAAAACTGAGGGAAACACATCAACTATAAGAGGAGAACAACGACACAACAGAAACACTAAAATGCAACACACACAGAAACGAACTAAAACATAACAATAGCCAGTTTCCTGACTTGGTACAGGACATTTAAAAAAAAATGTGGGTTGAACCTGGTTTTGTGGCTAACCAAACCTCCCGCTTTAATGGCAATGTTAAATATAACACTAAAATGGCAACATTACATAATAAGACTACAATACAAATAAATGGAAGAACATACAGGACAGAGAAACACACAAATAAACAATACGATAGAACATTACGACAAGCTAATAGTTATTAAAGGTACGAGGTAATAGCAAGTATTTTGCTTGGACAATAATTCCACCAACCACTGATAAAAAGAACAATATATCATTAAGCACATATACATGTTTAATGATTTTATATGTGTTTTTGTAATTTAGGTATTTCTGGATACTCACTGCAATTGTATGGAATGGGCAGTACCATGCTGGAATAAAGTGGCTGTCGATTATTACAAGCAAAAAGGAGCTATTAATCTGACTGAAACTGAACAACTTCATATATATAGACTTACAGAAGAAGCAATGCAGAATTTATTGAGTAAATAAACAGGAAAATCGTTTTACTTTAATGGAGGCAGCAGGCGTATTTAAGAAGAGTTATACGAGAATGTAGAAGGGAATTTGTTTCCCAAAATATTGTGCTTATTTGTCATCACATTGTAAATATTTCATATTGTATTTACGGGATAGTTTTAAAATTATATTGGTAGGTAATTGTACATTAGGCAACCTTTTTATGTTATAAAATGTATATAAGTCGATGTAAAATATAAGGCAAAGTTATAGACTTCATCTTGTTTCATATTCCTCCTATTTTCTTTTGCATGAAATAGTTGCCACTGGAAGTTTCAGCAACCAACAATAATCTGTTTCCTTATCTAATGATTCAAACTTCACAATATTTGTTTTATGAAAAACAGCTCCCAGGGGCCTTTTAAAAGGGCATGCGGTATGGGTTTAACCCATTGTTGAAGGCCGTACAGTGACCTTTAGTTGTTAATTTGTGTCATTTGGTCTCTTTTGGACAGTTGTCACATTAACAATCATACCACATCTTCTTATTTTTATACTTAATGGGTTTCAAATTTCGTCAAATTATTTTTTCCCATACAGAGAAATCTGATTTTCAAAAGTGTATATCATCCAGGATTATGCAATAAGTCAACTTTATAGATTATATAAAGTATTCACATTCTTTATGAAATTGACATTGATGGACTGACAAGGAAAAGGTGAGTTTAATTCGTGCAATTTGAGAAAATGATACAAGTACATATAAATAATGACTTCAGAATTTAAGATGAGAGTTCTTATTATTCCGACTCGTATTTAGTTGCTTTTTTACACAATGATAAAGTTAAAATATTTATAAATTTACAACAAATGATGATGCACTTAAGGATGTTCGCTCCTCTTGTTTTTGATTTTTTGTCAGATATTCGGAATCCTCTGGTTTTGTCCATAGTTTTTCCATTAAGAAATTTTGTCCACTAACCCCTACTTTTCTTTTCATAATTTTATTACATATAGTTTAAAAAGCATATTTGAAAATCTTATAAAATCCTTGTTATTTTTTCAATGTTTTTGAAAGAAAAACGGTGCCAATGTTAAATGTATGAAAAATCTAGAGAGAATCATTTCCCGCCAAATTTTCAATGGCTTATATCTCGAAAACAAGCACACGGACCCTTCATTTTTTTCTGCTTTTTTAGTTCCTTCATTTATATACTATCAATTTATGACAGTCTTTCAAAAAGCTTGTTATTTTGAAACAGAGTAGCGAACATCCTTAAATAACTTTTAGAGAAATAATCTAGCCTGATTTTGCAACTTATGATAAATATCATAATCAGGTAAACAAATAATTCTAGGAGAGGAATTTGTATTAGTGACTTGTCACTTGTTTTCCAATCTTGCATTGCGTTGCTGTACGTTTTTATTTTAATACACTACAAACCTATGTGATATTTAGTTAAACCACTACAAACATGTGTGATATTACAGTTAAGCCACTACAAACATATGTGATATTTCCGTCAAACCACTACAAACATATGTGATATTTCAGATAGACCACTATTAAAATATGTGAAATTTCAGATGAACCACTACAAAGACGTGTGATATTTCAGATAAACCACTACAAACATATGTGATATTGTAGATAAACCACTGCAAATATATGTGATATTGTAGATATACCACTGCAAATATATGTGATATTGTAGATATACCACTACAAACATATGTGATATTGTAGATATACCACTACAAATATATATGATATTGTAGATATACCACTGCAAATATATGTGATATTGTAGATATACCACTACAAACATATGTGATATTGTAGATAAACCACTACATATATATTTGATATTGTAGATAAACCACTACAAACATATGTGATATTTCAGATAAACCACTCCAAATATATGTGATATTGTAGATAAACCACTTCTTGTCGGATATGCTTTGTATCATTACACATACTCTACATGGGAGGGTAGGAGTATTTACATGGGAGATCTATATGTTAAACCGGAATTCAAAAAGAAAATTGAAAATATAGTTAAATCTTATGTTCCTAAAATGCGCGCTACAATAGCCTAAGTAAGAAATTATCGTAAAAACTGTACAATATGGTGTATGAAAGAATAGCATCTATAGTTTTTTTGCCATATTGTCCAATACATTGAATGCAATACAGTATAAAAAAATGACAACTATTTATTAAAAAAAAAACATTGATTGCTAGAAGATAATTCAAACATTAAAATAATTAAATATTTTCTTTATTCTTCATTTACTGAAAGTTCATTTCATAAGGAATGTGAATATGAATAAAAGGGAATGGGGTTTAAAAAAACGTCTATGCGACAGCATTCTTACAACACAAAGTCACATCAAATCAAAGTACATCAACAATATACAAGAGTCCATACAATATGTTAAGTTACATTCGCCTCGACTTCAGCCAAGAAAAATGTAAATACATTGAACAGAGATTAAAAGATCTGACCAGCCTTCAGCCATCTTATCTCGTTCAGTGATATAATAAAATGTACAAGAGAGAATAATTAAACAATAAAACTCAGAAATACAATGCCTTTATACCTGTATAACATAGACAAAACTAAATATTATATATACAATGCTCACAGTTTCTGTGAACATACTAACTGTGCTCTACGTCTAATATCATGCATCCCACACTAATCTATCACTGTTGTGTTAACATGAATTATGATTAATATGGTCATGATTATAAATTAATTGTTTACGAAATTTTGCATTTTTCGAACTTTCTACCCCAGGTATAGATTATTTTAGCTGTATTTAGCAAAACATTTAAAAATTTTGGGTTCTCAATGCACTTAACTTCGTACTTTATTTGGCCTTTTTAACTTTTTTGGGGTCTTTTGTAGACGAAACGCGCGTCTGGCGTATAAAATTTTAATCCTGGTATCTATGATTTTATCTATAGCATGCACATTTTGCTTTTCGCATTTATGTGTTTGTTATCAACGTTTTAGCAACCATAGAAACCTATAAAAACAAAGTAAAATCATCGAAAAAAAAACACCTTTTTTATTTCAAATATGAATAGAGATGCAGTGTCCGCGGCTAGATTTTGTTGTGTTAAATTGGAATGTTAATTCGATAGACTACTACAAACAGAAAAGTGCTTTTGATTTGACCGGGACATGAAAATGACATCTATTTCGTATGAAAGCGTTCATAACTTTAAGCAACAGTTGTAAATGAATATATACTGACATCACAGTAGACATATGCCCACCCCGCGTTTTTACAAGAGATGGTGTGTAAAATGTAAAATAGAAAAAATACCGAACTCCACGGAAAATTCAAAACGGAAAGTCCTTTAAAAATGTCAAAATCAAAAGCTCAAACACATCAAACAAATGGAAAACAACTGTCACTTATTTGTACGTCAATCATTCCCGTATCACCTCAATTGAATTTATAAAAAATAGCATTATTAATATAAACAATAATTAAGTCTTTTCTCGGTGTTTTGTAAATAAATAATTCAGTTACATAAATTAACAAGCGCACAATATATGTTAATAGTGATGTTAGGTTGCTGTCTCGTTTACCCTCACATCGCGTTTCGTTCATCAAGATCTGACGCACCTGATTGTTTATATATGAAGGTTTGGGTGATGTTAGGGAATAATGGGCAAACAATAAAGAATAGAGAAAATGAGCCCCAAAACATTTAAAAAAATTAATTAAGGGTACTTAAATGTAAAGAATAGAGAATAATAAGCAAAATAGATAAAGAATAAAGAAAATCGGCTAACAAATAAGGAATATAGAATATCGGGGTGCTTACATATGTCCAAATATAGAGGATAGAGAATAATGAAGTGCTAAAACATATCCAATTATAAAGAATAGAGAATAATGGGCAAAATATATAAAAATTAGAGAGAAAAACGGCCTACAAAATTAAAGAATACAGATATGAAATCCCCTATATAGACCATCATATATATTGTGTAATTACGTTTCAGACGAAATTGAATAGAAAGTATATTTTACGAGTTTTTGCTTATCTTGCATGGTGTCATTACATAGCTACATTTGTAGGTATTTTAACCAAACCATTTTTTAAAATCATGCTACAATGCATTTGATTGTTTTGTATGTTAAAACCAAATTGGAGAAATGTCTTATGATCTTTAATTACATGGGTTCGCTATTTGTACGACAGTTTCCTGACTGAGATTACTATTATTTATAACACATGTAAATAAACTCATCATGCAGAGATACCAGGATTGAAATTTTGTATTTGCGCCAGACGCGCGTTTCGTCTACAAAAGACTCTTCAGTGACGCTCGAATCAAAAAAAGTTAAAAAGGCCAAATAATTGTGACAAAAATACAGTTGAAGCATAAGACAATATTTGTAATTCATTGTTTAATTGAAATCCATCATAAATTACCCGTTTGAACAATACGTTAACGAAAACTTCATTAAAAATCATCACTTTATCCTTGGTTGCTCTTCTTACCTTACCTTACCGCTGAATCTTTCTCCGTCCTTCAGGACAACCTCTTAGTAGAGTACAATAGTATATATGACCCTCCACCATCCAAAATATCATACAAATATGTATTTACAGTTTATATACAAGTCCGCAATTGGTAGTTTAATTGTTATCACTAGTTCTGTTAAATCAGTTTAATACTCAATCAGTATACACTTATTTTGAATGTTTCTTCTGCATACTTAAGGGTTCTGGCTCTTATAGTATGCAGTTCATACAATTTTCTGGATATTAATTCACATAGTTGTTCTGTTTTTCTATCCAATAATAAATCTGAATTCTGATGTCTAAGTTTAGTACAATCCATAATTAATTGTGTCTGGGTATTTGCAGACAATTTATAAAAGGAAATGGATGCATCTTTAAGTATATTATCTTCAATTTGATTTATGAAGGGACTTTTTATAGGTTCTAGAACCTTACATTTTAATAGTAGATGTTCAATGTCTTCGTCTTCATCATCACAGAGTTTACACAAAGGAGATTTACTTTTTGTAAAGCTAGCACGTTTGTTTTGTGTCATAAAAGTTCCTGTGACTAATTTAAGTTTGATCGCAATCGATAGCGCACCTTTCTTCGGGGTCCGCGCTATTGGTATATACAGTGTACGAATTCATTCATTTGTTGCCCAAAAAGGCGCAAGCCAGGGCCGGCCGTGTGAGGTCTTTATAGCCAGTCAAGGTTGTTAAAAACCCACATAAGTAAACATTTGTTATTTGGCTGTTGATGGTTACGCATCGGAAAGTGAATACCAGCAAATAAAGAAGGTTTAACTGAGAAGTTAGTAAACCAATAAGTTCAAGTTGAAAGCTTGCGGTTTGAAGCAAGCAGTTAAGAAGCTACCGGGTTGTTCTGAAACTGTAATTTCCCACTGGAATGTTCATAGTCCCTCGAACGGGTAGCCTGTGCGGATTGTCTCTTGAGAACATTCAGCTGTTGTGATGCCTTTCTACACAAGTTACTTATATGTGCATCAAATTTTAGTTGGTAATCAATATCAATTCCAAGTAACTGGACGGTTTCTTCACATGATATAATATTTTGCTGAATTTGTATAGATGGATTTTTTGCAAAGGTTCTTTTCCCTACAGCAATAACTTGAAATTTATCAGGATTTGCCTGCATCTTATTTTCTTTAAACCAATCAATCAGCACTTGAGACTCAGATTCTAATATAGATACGAGATGGTCATAACTATTAGCTCAAATAATTATGACGTCTTGGAAGGCTATCTACATTAGGATCTGAGTCTCAAGTGCTGATTGATTGGTTTAAAGAAAATAAGATGCAGGCAAATCCTGATAAATTTCAAGTTATTGCTGTAGGGAAAAGAACCTTTGCAAAAAATCCATCTATACAAATTCAGCAAAATATTTTATCATGTGAAGAAACCGTTAATTTACTAGGAATTGATATTGATTACCAACTAAAATTTGATGCACATATAAGTAACTTGTGTAGAAAGGCATCACAACAGCTGAATGTTCTCAAGAGAATTGGATCCTTTTTAAACAGATTAAATAAACTTACAATTTTTCATACTTTCATTTTGAGTAATTTTAATTTTTGCCCTTTGGCTTGGCATTTTTGTACAGAGAAAAATTCTAAAAAACTGGAAAAAATACAAGAGAGAGCATTAAGATTTGTATATGACGACTACCGGGTATTTATCATCCTCTGAAACTCTTCTTGAGAACGCAAAGGTTCCAACCCTACAAGTAAGACGCACCAGGACAATGGCACTTGAGACTGATAAAATTTTAAATAATTTGGCTCCTTTATGCTTACAAAATTTGCTCCAAATTAAACACACTAAATATTCTTTTAGATACAGTAATATTTTGGAAATACCACAGGTAAGAACTACCTCATATGGAAAAAAACTTTTAGCTTTGCTGCTGTTTCTTTATGGAATAGCTTACCAGACCATTTCAGGACTGTTAACAGCTTCTCACATTTTAGAAGACTTGTTCAGTCCTTGAGTGGAACAGACTGTTTTTGATCTGCCTGTAGGTAATTTGTGTTACATTATTTATGCTTTTTATGCTGCATTAACAGCTTGCATTGCAACTGAAATTTTGTTTTTACATTTTAATAATTACAAGATTTGAAACTTTTACTTTATAAATTATTTTAAAAATTTTAAACTGCAAATTTTTAAAATTATTCCTGTATTAGTGCTTCATATATATGTTTTGGCATTTAGCAAGATGCATGTATATGCTAGAGTTAAATGTGGTCCTGTTTTTTATTATTTATTTGCATGCTGCATGCCTTGTTTTATTTGTTATTGCATATGTTTTTATATTCGGTGAAAAGCTCATTAGAGCTTATGTTTGTATGTTTGTCAATATGCCGAATCAAAATAAAGTTTGACTTACTTACTTTTTAGTATATATATATAAAGTTATGTGTATCTTCTCATAAGTTACAAATAGAACTAGGTAGATATCAGGGTATTTATTCCCTGACTTAACAGAATATGTAATAAATGTTCTTCCAACACTGTCGAAGACGAGGCTCATTTTCTTTTTGATTGCAACAAATTTGAGGATGATAGAAATTATATGTTAGCTAGCATTGCAAAATGTAATTCTTATTTTAATAATATGAGCAGTCACAACAAAATCATCTGGTTATTTAGTGTAGAAAATGTTAGTATATGTAATTTTATATACAAACATCTTCCTTAGTGAATATTATTTAATGGGAATCTATATGTGTATGTACATTTGATTGGACATCTTAGAAATAAATATTGATCTGAATACTAGTTAATTTTTTATATACATATATATATATATATATATATATGTTAATAGAATACATAATTTATTCAAATGTTCTCTTATATCATTAAGACATCGTCCCCTGGTATCAACTGCATTAAAGTTACCTATGATGCTACCTTGTTTGCTTTTGATACAGGTAGGAACGAGACATTTACACATATTTGACATGCCTATGGTCCATAAGGTATCGCCCCCTGGTGTCAGCTGCCTTTAGGAAACCATAATGCTTTTCTATTTGCTGCTGACACAGGATGGCCCGTAGACATGCTTAACTTTTTTTTTGCTTGTTGATTATATGTTTATCTAAACTAATTATGTGCTATATATATATATGTATAAAATTGAGAATAGAAATGGGGAATGTGTCAAAGAGACAACAACCCGACCATAGAGCAGACAACAGCCGAAGGCCACCAATGGGTCTTCAATGCAGCGAGAAACTCACGCACCCGAAGGCGTCCTTCAGCTGGCCCCTAAACAAATATGTATACTAGTTCAGTGATAATGGACGTCATACTAAACTCCAAATTATACACAAGAAACTAAAATTAAAAATGATACAAGACTAACAAAGGCCAGAGGCTCCTGACTTGGGATATCTATTTTGTCTATTTGTTTGTTGTCAGTATATCAATCACACTTGCATTATATATTTAAAATTATAAGTTCTTTGTCTATATATTACTTTAAGAACTTAAATTGTTCTTTATTTTTTTTTTTATTTCATTGTTTGTATTGTATTGTGAATTGTATTTATGTCTAATTCCTGGTATTTCCTTATCTTATGAACTAAACATCATAGTTTTTGTCTCACCTTGACGGAGTCAAAAAGTGAGTCTTAGGTATACTGTTCCAGCAGTGCAGCGTGAAATAAATGAAAACAACGCAATATAAGTTTCATGCATCCGAAGCACTTTTCTGGATTTACCTTCATCATCTTATACATCCTTTACTTTCCAATATTTAGCTTTGAGAGTTCCTGATAAAGGTAAATCCAGAAAAGTGCTTCTGATGCATGCATTTTTAAAGTGTTGTTTTTGTTATCTAGATCAGATACATTTGAAAACAAATAATTATTCAGAATGGATAACCATCATAAACAATTCAAATAACTAGCAAGTATTAATCTGTCATTTTGCATCTGACAAAGGAATATGAGAGTTTAATTAAGAAGGAACTTCTGGGAAAATTTGGTTTATTTGTAAGTTTGGATTGACTTTAAACTAGCTTATAGTGACTGTGTATATACTCTCAGTATGGTACCTTGTGTTTTTTCGTCCTATTTTTAAGTTTTTTTTGTGTTTAATGCTGATCTGCTAAGCCTTTGTCAACTGATTTTATAGTTTGTTTATGTTGTCTTGTTACACCATCTGCCCATGTTCGGGGGAAGGTTGTGTGCTGACAAACTTGTCTCGTCAGGAGCCTCACATTTAGTGGTTGCTTTTGGTTGCTGTATGCCTTATTTGTTTTAACTTTGATGCATTTAGCATAAATCAGAACATTGGTTTGTATGTGTGAATTATTTCACAATTTTGTCACGACACGGTATTGGTTTTGCTCATTGTTGAAGGGCATACAGTGCCCTTTAGTCGTTTACAATCTCGTCCTTTGGTCTCTAAAGGATAGTTGTCTCATAGGCACCCATACCACATCTTATTTTTATACTCCATAAATTTGATGTGTTTACCAGATATGTTTTGGGTTCAAACTGACCTAAATATTTTGTTTATCTTTTAGATGACAAAACATTATTTTGGGTGACAATTTCTCCATATTAATTTGCCCAAAATTTTCCTAAAATGTGCCTATTGTTGAAAATAAATCATAGAATCTGTCTTCAGACCTCACTTTAATGAAGTACATAGCAATCCAAACTGTGATATAAAGCCAAAGTTAATATGTACATACATTTTGTGAAGGCCTTACATCTGAACTCTTTAAAAAAGTGATTCATAATGGCTTCAAAACATTTCATATTTTCTATGAATTTGCAAGGCCAAAAAGCCCCAGATGTACCATCTCCTTTGATTGAAATGCGCAAGTGGCCCCTAGTGTGAAAGAAGTGGGCCTTGACTAATGAATGATAACTTGATATAAGTCATTGTCAATAAACACATATTTTTGAAAACACTTTGCTCAGATCACACCTTGATACCATAGTTGAGCTACAATTGATAATTATGCACCTATCATTGATTTTTTTTTTTGGGGGGGGGGGGGGGGCATGTTTATTTATTTATTTATCACCTCAAATGATTTTTTTTCATTTATTCAAAAACAAACAATGTTTTTCAATAACACAATGACATTTGCTTACTTTTTCTTAATTTCCAATGGAAACAAATTATTTTTTTTCATTTCATTTCTGAAACAGATTACTATTTTTCTAAAAATTTAGCTTCAAAGAAGCAACAACCAAGCTCCCTGCAAAAGATGAATGGCTGGTGCATGACAAAAGCTTAGAAACAAAAACACTGAGTTGTCCTACAATTGATTTGTGTGTATATTGGATATCCCTCAGCAATTCAGCTGGCCATTGCCATTTTAAGAATGTTACTTAACAAACAACATTGACCGAGGTCACTAATTACGAGATGGTCCTCCTAGATAACCTTCACTGGAACAGGAGTATAATTCATCGTAATCAATACAACAAGAGTGCACACGCTGAAATGTCTCGCCTGTTTTACTGACCATTGATTTTATGTTGAAAGTCTTAAAGATAAAGGTTTTACTACAAGTATCACATACACTTACCGGTAACATTCTTAAAGATCCATGACAATGAGGTCAAGGTCAGATAAAAACTGTCACACAGACATGTACACCTTACAATTATTCCATACACCAAATATAGTTGAACCATTGCTATTAGTATATGAAAAACAGACCAAAACACTAAAACTTAACATTGACCAATGAACCATGAAAATGAGGTCAAGGTCAGATGACAACAGCTAGACAGACATGTACACCTTACAATCATTCCATACACTAAATATAGTTGACCTATTGCTTACAGTACTTGAAAAACAGACCAATTCACAAAAAATTAACAAATGACCAATGAACCATGAAAATGATGTAAAGGTCAGATGAACCTGCCAGTCTGACATGTACCCCTTACAATCAATCCATACACCACATATGGTTGACCTGCTGCTTGTAGTATTTGAGAAACAGACCTAATCACGTACCGGGTAACTTAAACCTTGATCACTGATCCATGAATTGAGGTCGAGGTCAGGTTAACCCTGTCTGTCCGACATGTAGATGTTGCAAGAAACCTATTTACCAAATATAGTTATCCTATTACTAATAATAAGTGAGAAATTCTCTTGACAAAAAAACTCAAATTTTTTTCCAAGCAGTCACTGATTCCTGAAAATGAGGTCAAGGACAATGGGCATATGCATATGACATCAGGAAACTTTGTAACATAAGGTATCTGCATACAAGATATGAAGCATTCAGGTCTTCTATCTTCTGAATTATAAAGCTTTATACAAATAGTTTACGCCGCAGCTGGATAGTACTACCTATGTCTCGCATACTGCAACTTTTTTCGCAGGTGAGACAAAAAATCACAAACACCAAATTCTTTGTGCACAAAATACTGTAAACCAACTTATTTTCCTGGATACTTTATTTCACATTAAGCCATTTCTAGCCCACATCACGGTGATTTCCTTTCTTGATTTTCAACTTAACTTGATGTATTTAAATAAAGTAAGATCCAAGTTTTACATATTCGATACGATTTATATTCGTGTTATTTTTCTACTCGCAAAAGTCAAGATCAAAAATTGCTCAGGAAAACTAGTTAGTTAACAGTACTTTTCCGAGACAAATTCTGTTGAATTAAGTTATATATTAATTATAAATTACAAATATTCTGTATTTGCACATTGTAAGGAACAAAAAGAAAAGAAATTGAAGAACTTCAATATGGTGTAACTTGATGGTTACAAATTATAATTCTGATGGTACATATATGATTTTGCTGTAAATTCATAAATCAAAAATTTAACCATTCGGTTTATCTTCTCTAGAGGAACACTGGTCAAATTTGGCATTGCAAAGATTTAAATCATCAAATACACAACTTGAAATGTGTTTGATTGTTCTCTTCCTTGTCTCAATAACTTCCATCATATCACCAGTGATAGGAAGAAAGGAGCTTCTTTCTGATTCAGAGAGAATCTCGACAGTTTTCAGTAATAATGAAACAACAGGGCAATCATCTTCAGAAAGAGAAATATCTCCAAGGTGAGCATACTTTGCTATTATAGGTTTAGAATGACTCTGGTGATTAAATCCTAGTTCCTTTGTAACATTACTTCCACAAATCATCATCATTTGATGCATTTCAACTGGCCAATCTATCTTCCCAACATACACCTGTAACAACAGAAGATATATACCTGTTTGTACAATGTACTGTATATATAAATATATCATGTCAAAGTAATAAGCTAGCTAATCTATATGTATGATAACAGTGTAGAAATTCATATCCCTTTTTTAAGGTCATACATGTATATCAATGTTTAATGTATCTGCCTTATATTAAAATAATGGTAATATTATGCAATTAGAGACGTTTGTAGAGGTCAATATGAGTTTTGATAGACTAATTTTTTCTTCTAAATTCACTCAGTGAGTATATTGGGGAATATTTTTTTCAATAAATATACATTATTTGAAAAAATGATAGACAGGTGACAAAAAGTGACAACAAAAGCTCACCCTCCCTTTAAGAAAGGTGAACAGTGGCACTGAGCACATGTGTGATTTTTGCGTATATATATGGATACAATATTATTTGTGATTTCCTCAACTGAAATAAATAAATATCTTATTTATAATTCAAGGAGTCAACGCAAAGCATCCACAACTTCAAAATCACCTATTTGTATTTAAAAATTTTACACCCTCTGTTCATCCTTAAGGGCATACGATACAGTTTTGATCCCAGTGATTTTTTTACAAAAATTTGCATACAAGCTATTTTTCACCTAGCCAATTCAAATCTGTAATAAAAAATATACCTTCATGTGCTACATTAAGAGATAAATGGGGTCGAAATTTTAGACAATAGACATACCTAACTTTTTTGTTTCAAAAGATAAACACAAGCGGATTTTTGTTAAAACATTTGGAAAATCTTCTTTACATAAGTATGCTCTACATTTGTATAACAATTCTTTGGAAATAATTAATTTTTATCAAAGTTTCATGATTTTAGAAAAAAACTGCATATTTTGCTGTATATTTATCTAATCTAAAATAAATGGGGAATGTGTCCATGGGACACAGATGATGCCCTCACTTGCATATAACGTTATAAAGGGACATAACTCAAGAACAGTAAAAGTGACGCTACCCAAATTTGTACTTGATCTGAGTTTTGTGGTAATAAGCATTGTGTAGAAGTTTCATAACATTTGGTTGAGACAAACTTAAGTTAGAACGGAAACGAAAAATTCAGCAATTTTTCCATTTGTAAAGGGGCACATCTCTAGAACGGTAAAAATGATGCCACCAAAATTCACATATGATGTGTGTTTTGTGGTAATCAGCATTGTGCCTAAGTTTTATAACGTTTGATTGAGGCAAACTAAAGTTAGAGAACAGAAACGAAAAATTCAGCAATTACCTACATGTAAGAAATACATAGGTTGTATATGCAGCATCATGAGAACTTCAGTGAGACAAGAACTCACAAAACTCCACATACCTTTGTATCCAAAATCAATAGTCGCTACAAACTGTTTGTGTAGAGAACACAAGCATATGATGCACAACTGCACTATCTATGTCAGAAAAGGTTTATGATAGAATGAAATCAATTCAGTAGTTTTAGAGGAGTTGCAGATGTGTATTTTTATAAAAATAGTCGTACAGATTAACTGGTTGTGGAGGAGTTGTGGTTTTAAATGTTCAAAATCTGGAAAAAAAGTTTTACTATTTTTTTGCAGAAGTGACACCATTAGCCAACTGATATGACTGATGATGAACAAACAGAACAATATCATTATAAACCACTTTTCGTCTGAATTTTGACATATATAAGTTTTAAGTTGTATGAATAGAAGGTACGGTTGGATGATTTTCTTGATGAAACACATTTTTCTTCCTTTTTGTCCTTGAAATCTGCAGCTTGGAAATAAGCGGAAAGTTAGAAAATAAGTTCACATGATGCATGTATAATGAAGAATGATTCTTTTTGTGAACCAGACCAAACCATACTTCAAAAAAGGTATTTGCTGCTTCTACCCTCAGCACACTGCAATTAGAAGTAAGAGATCAGACTGGTCAGCACAAAGCCAGAACACAGTGTTGGTTAGAGTGACATGTTTTCCTACTGACTGAGTTACCTAGTGAACTACAACAAATGTAGCACATTAAAAATCCTACCAGTACTCAGCCTGTTTGTCTGTCTGTTTGTCTGTCTATTAACAAAGCAAGGTTCCTATTCATAGTACTTTAACATCTTGTCCTATTATGCATGTAATAGTTGCCAATGAAGGTTAAACAATAAACCATCATCATAGACTCATACTCATAATTTAAAGAAATACTGGCAATAAAAATCTCCCTATTTTAGGAATATTATCTCCTTAATTGGAGTACCGGTAATCCTTCAGATTTCCACCAAATATTTGGGAGTTTCCCAAGTGAAGCAATGAAAAAGCAGACAACAATGTAAACAGAACATGTATATATTAGAGTCAGATTGACGTCCAGTCTCTAATTGACTGCCCTTTCTCAAATTGACGTACAATCTGAAGTCCCATTCTCAAATCAAGGTCAAATATTTTTAACTTCTTATCGACGTCAAATGTGTCATGTATTACCATAAACTGTTAACACAGAGATATGTCTCGCCTATTTGTTATTTTGATAATGCAAATGTTGAGATTAAAATTACAATACTTTAACATGTAAGTTATGCAAATATTCAAAGTCAATGAACCATGACTGAATGTACAGGGCTAAACAGTCTCCATGGAAATAACATGTGTCAATGCTAATACAACTGCAAACCAAATACCATTGACTTTTCATAGGTCATTCCCTTTAAACAAACCTAAACCATGTAAACACAAACATTAACTTGTAAACTATGTAAAAGTTTCAAAGTCAATGAACCATAATTAGGGGTAGGGGTTATATAACCTCCATGGAAATGAAACTTGCAAAAGCCAATACATTTGCATACCGAATATCATTGACTTAACATTAGTGGTTCATCTTAAACTGACCTAATCACAAACTAATACATGTAAACTAAGCAAAAGTTTCAAAGTCAATAGACCATGACTGAGAAGTAAGGACCAAATATTCTCCATGGAAATAAGATGTGCTAATGCTTCTACAACTGCATACCAATTATCATTGACCTACCACTAACGGTTCCCCTTAAACTGACCTAATCACAAACTAATACATGTAATCTAAACAAAAGATTTAAAGTCAATAGACCATGACTGAGGGGGCGGGGCCAAATAATCTCCATGGAAATGAGATATGCCAATGCTTATACAACTGCATACCAAATATCATTGACCTACCACTAGTGGTTCCCCATAAACTGACCTAATCACAAACTAATTCATGTAAACTAAGCAAAGTTTCAAAGTCAATAGACCTTGACTGAGGGGGTGGGGCCAAATAATCTTCATGGTAATGAGATGTGCCAATGCTAATACAACTGCATACCAAATATCATTGACCTACCACTAATGGTTCCCCATAAACTGACCTAATCACAAACTAATACATGTAAACTAAACAAAAGATTTAAAGTCAATAGACCATGACTGAGGGGGCGGGGCCAAATAACCTCCATGGAAATGAGATATGCCAATGCTTATACAACTGCATACCAAATATCATTGACCTACCACTAGTGGTTCCCCATAAACTGACCTAATCACAAACTAATTCATGTAAACTAAGCAAAGTTTCAAAGTCAATAGACCTTGACTGAGGGGGTGGGGCCAAATAATCTTCATGGTAATGAGATGTGCCAATGCTAATACAACTGCATACCAAATATCATTAACCTACCACAAATGGTTCCCCATAAACTGACCTAATCACAAACTAATACATGTAAACTAAACAAAAGATTTAAAGTCAATAGACCATGACTGAGGGGGCGGGGCCAAATAATCTCCATGGAAATGAGATATGCCAATGCTTATACAACTGCATACCAAATATCATTGACCTACCACTAGTGGTTCCCCATAAACTGACCTAATCACAAACTAATTCATGTAAACTAAGCAAAGTTTCAAAGTCAATAGACCTTGACTGAGGGGGTGAGGCCAAATAATCTCCATTGTAATGAGATGTGCCAATGCTAATGTAACTGCATATCAAATATCATTGACCTACCACTAGTGGTTCACCATGAACTAGACCTAATCACAAACTAATACATTGTTGACGCCGCCGCCGGAAACAGCATACATATGTCTCGCTTTTTGACTCCGTCAAGGCGAGACAAAAATGATTTCCCATCGATCAGAGTCTTCTCTCATCAACGTTTCATTTATTCTCAGTTTGATTTCTGTAGTGGTTGGTTGCTTTGATTTCATAAAATACTTCACCTAAATAGACTAATTGTTTCTTGTCTTTCAATACATTGAAAATCATAACTAAGTTGACTTATGAAAAGGAACAACAAAGTAGACAATATCCCGTCCCATAGAAACAACTAAAACCAAATAAAACGAACTGGATAAATGACAACAAGAAAACCACCAACAACAGATTACATCATGGACATTATTATTTTGTGTGAGAGAAGTTAATCCCCTGGTTCTTCCTTGTTTCATATTCATATGAATAAAAGAACATCTGGATATATATCAATGAGACAGCAACCCAACGACAAAAATAACCGTACAACATCTAGATTTATTTAGCTATCAACAATAAACAGATGTCTATTCACTATGTCCAGCTCTAAAATAAAAGTAGCAAATAAAGAACAGAAACAATTAATTTGAAGGATCTTATTTATTGCTGTTTTCAATCCATTCTGTATAATTAATAATGTAAAGAATTTGGTTATAACATCCGATAACTGCTGACAAGGTTCCTTATTTGGGACATGGAAACAGTTTTATAAGTGAAAAACAAATTAAATTCCCAGTCTATAGCAGCAATATGTAGAGTTATTGTCAGTGAAAATGATCAGATGAAATATGTCATTTTGAAATTGATATATATCATAACAAGTTAACCTCATTAATAAAATTATGAATGCATAATTTTTATACGACCACAAAAAATTTTTGGGTAAAAAAAATTTTTTTGGGGGGGGTCACAAAAGCAAAAAAAAAAGGGGGGTAAATTTTTCTTGTTGTTGTTGGGGTGGGGGGGGTGGGGGTGGGGGTGGGGAGGGGTGGTATAGAATCAAATGTCCATTTGGTGTCTTACTTTATTATGACATAAGATTGGACGTTGATTTGAGGAACGGACATCGATAGGAGACCAGATGTTGATCTGAGTCTTACACATATACTGATTTTGAACCATTTCTCTCTGAGTCCGAAGTAAAAATGAGGTCAAACACAGATGATACCTGCTTGACAGACATGAACCATTCCATACAGCAAATAAAGTTAACCTATTGCTTATAGTATTTGAAAAACAGACCAAAACACAAAAACTTAACATTGACCAATGAACCATGTAAAATGAGGTCAAGGTCAGATGAAACCGTCCAAACGGACATGCACACCTTACATACTATAGACCGAATATAGTTGATCTGTGAAATGGACTGTATTAACTTTAACCTTGATCACTGATCAATGAAATAAGGTCGAGGTCAGGTGAACCCTCTCTGATGGGCATGTAAACCTTTCAAGGATCCCATATATTAAATATTATTATCCTATTACTGATAAGTGAAAAGTTCACAGGACAAAACAATTCTAATCAGTCTATGAACCATGAACCTAAGGTCAAAGACAATGGACATTTGAAGGACAGAAAAAAAAGTCATTTGTTTACAGAGTAAGAAGCATCCAGGTCTTCTTCCCTCTGAAATATAAAGCTTTATTAAATAATTTACACTGCAACAGGATTGTTACCCCTACGTCTCGCATTCTATGACTTTCCTCACAGGAAATTCAAAAATCAGCATAGATTGTAAGGTAAAGTTATTTTAAACACAAGAAGTTTTAGTGCTAGCAAATTTGTCATGGGTCTAATCCATGCCAGACTGCCCCTACATCTTCAACCTAAAGTTAATTGATACCCTGCATTCTTTTATGGTGTTGAAATATTATTACTTCTTATATTGACTGTTACTTACCTGAAAAATTCCTCTAGGAGCTACCTTAATAATACAACAATGAGATGTTGATCTACCACCGCTCAATGTAGAAAACATTGTTTGATGTATGCTATCTTCCAGGTCAGGTTTTGAACCCTGCGAAAAAATGTGTTACAATCAAAAACAAAAATTCACAGATCAATAGAGTGCCTTCATTTTTCTATGTAATAGATAATTGTGTCACTTTGTGGAGGAATGCAGATGCAATGTTTGAAAACTTACAGATTACTAATGATAGAAGCCAGACAATGCAGTCTGTCTCAAATGTGTGTTCTGGATCATTTGTCTGTTATTGAAATGACCTGGTTCTGGGACTTATTTGTGCATTAGCCCCACATCAGTAAACATAATTCTCAAAAACTTCCTGTTGTAAGCTAGCCGGCGAATGGACCCTCTTTTTGTTTTCTTCTTTAATTTTTATTTGGTAAATGTTCTTTTCTATTTGAACTTACTTAATATTGTGTTCTTTGTCTTATCCTTATGATATTACAATAACAGTAGTTTATACATGATGACCTCTATTCTTATTTTCCATGTGGGTAAATATGGATGCCCATTATTTCTATGTTCCCTACGTTGCGCAGGGGCAATATGCTGTATGGCTTTCATGAGTTACTTTTGGTTTAAAAATATTCAGCATTATTTGGGGTATTGAAGTTTCAATGATTAAATCAAAGGTTATATGTTTTACTTTTAATTGAGCAATGAATTTTTAATCACCTGTGTATAATGTTGATATTGTTTCAATCTTAATATATTTTACTTTACTTTACTTGCAACTTTTTTAGTTTAATTAATTAAACAAATTGAACAAATCATAATAAAGTAGGGTACTCACCACTTCAATGATATTTAAATATATGCTAGCATCATAACTAGGATCATCCAGACAAATATCCACCAGGGGTTTATACTTGGCGTATCTGCATGGGGCAGTATATATCTCAAATGGTTTTAAAGGTACTTTTTGCTGAGCAATAAAACGTCCATCAAAATGTTTCATCAGCAAACAGTGTAAAAGATTTCTACCAAGAGAACTGGCACAGTTGCGTCCAAAGGATTTAAATCTGTTACGACACTGCTTTATCCTAAAAATTAATCAAAATCCTGAAATGTTGAATGTGATCGTTTATCATGAAAACATGCAAATACATGGATTAATGAACCTCAGTTTGGGATCAGAACTTGCAGTCCAGAATATTTGGGAAAATCATTCATATTTTTGTCTAAAATTGGAAATTGTCTGTATTTATGCCTAACAGCTAAGTAGGGGAGCATGGAGGTGCTGTGTACTACTTTTCACATTGTACTTTTAATATAACCAACTATATACAGGAGTGGTAAGAAGGGGTGTCATCCCAAATTCTCCAAAAAATAAATTATTCTTTCCTGGATCCCCAAAAGTTTTAAAATCATTAATTCCAAGAGTCCCAATAGGTGTAAATCCTAAATTCCAGCAAAAATAAAGACCCAATACTGAATTCACTCAAAAATAAAGGCCCAATCCATTATTTTATCTTGAAAAAGGTCCTTACTCCCCTTTATATAATGTATATTAAGTACATGTACATGTACATGTATAATAGAAAAGAATATACAAGACCATGATGACAGCTATAATAGTTGAATTCAAGTTGTCCAATCTACTTACTGTGTTGAATTCCATGTTTCTGTGCAATCTCTTGTTCCACTATGAGACACAATTTGTTCCCAAATTCCCTGCTCTAAAACCTCTTCACATGATTCCACTTGCTTTATATCACAAAATCTAAATGGCCACCTAGCAGCTGATATTTCTGAGGGAGAAACATTTGACCTGCAAGAAAAATTATTAGTACACATACTCTGTATTTACATTGGAAAAGAAGGAGTTGTGAAAGGACTTTTATTTATTGGATACCATTTTTTGTGAATTTAGTGGTTAAAATGAAAACCACAAATTTTATCATTCTGACATGTGTTACCCAGTGAAAAGCATTTTTTTCTACTGACTGATAATGCAATAATTCTGTATCCACAAATTCAAAAATCCATGAACCTATGCTGGATTTTTCAAAAAAAAATTAAAAAAATGGAATTCAAGAATTTAAAAAGTATACTTTCACTGTACTTAAATTCTAATTTGGTAACAACAATTGATAGTTTTGTTTATATAACCATGATGACATTGAAAAATGTGCTGGATAGCTAAATTTCGATTTTCTAAGCGAACAAATTGAAAGTGCATTTATCATGTTTATTCATGTTATTTAGATCAATAGAAACAATTTTCGGTTATCGACTTTTCCAGAAAATTAATAAGTTGCTACATTGATCCCCTGAAAACCACCTTCTTCCGAGGAATCAATCTCTTATTTAACAATCAGGAATTCAGAAAAGTTGCTAGCCAAAATTCTTGCCTTTTACACTTTGTAATATTTCTGATAAATTAAAAATAATTTTTGTGTGCAGTAAATTTTTATCCCAATAAGGATAGTAAATCCCAAACAGGTAAATATGACACATTTGGGTGACTGATCCAAAACTGCCATCATTGTTTTCTTACTCTTGTGATATCACACAGCTCTTATGATTGAATTGAAAAGAAAAAGTTAAAGTATGAAAATCATGCAAATAAATCTTATTTCCTCAAAAAATCAGAAAATAATATTTAAATAAAAGAATAGCATGCTTATGTCTCCCACTGATGCACAAATACATGTATTATCTGTCCAAGGAAGATAAGTAACTCACAAATCTATTTTTTGGGTTCTTTAAAACTTTTTCATAAAAATACATTTCATCCTACAAGAAATGTAGGCATTAGATTGCTACATTGATATTTTTACAAATAATTTTATAAGTGCTGATTATCATACCCTTGATATAAACCTTTGATATAAATTGATAAATATGTAGGTGCTAAAGTGCTTACAATGCAATGTGCATTGCACCACACTGCACAGTTGACCATGAAACCTGCATTACCCTATCGAGAAATCACTTAGATTTCCATGTTTCATAACATCATTCTTGTACTATAAAAAATAAAATAGAAGTATCAGCCATACCAACACCTCCCCTCTTTCTGCACGATGCCCTCATGCAAATATTGTAAGACATCTGTATCTGTATATCACTATCTGCATAAGCATGAGCACGTTGTTGAAATAATGAAGTCAACAAACTTAAAAACATACATACATTAACACGAGCATGCCAATGAGGATCTGAAAATTTTTGAATCGAGAATCCGTCAACTGCAATGAAATTTTTTGGTTAAATTGGTTTCATGGATAAAATAGCATTATCCTAATACTGTATATTTTATGTTCTGGACATGTTTGATTATAGTTTTTTGTTGAGAAAAGTTTCTGGAGATATTTTAAGGTTTGTTTGAGACTGAGTGAGACATGTGCTCACTAGAGGGCATCCATAAGTACTTTAAATGTTCGAAACTATCAAACAGTATTCATGATGTCAGACCTTGTCCCTTTTTTTTATATATATTTCGCACTTTTTATATTTTCTGGATGAGCGAATCAGAATTCAAATAAGTGTGTTCATAATGTTCATGTTATTTAAAGGGTGGATAACTTTTTGGTAGTAAATATTGTATCGCCCAGGCTGGGGAACTTGGTAGGCAAAAGTTCACATTAATCTGTGCCGATACAGCATTGTACAGTGTGCTAAATGTCCTCCTTTACAACATTTACTCATGGTAAAGGAGGAAGATACAAAACATATGTTCTGATGACTAGCTGCCCAACCATAGGTCTTAGGTCCTTTAAATATTTTTTGACAATTTGCAGACCTGCAATTGTCAAAAAATATCAAAAGGACATAAAAATTAAGAGCTAAGGTTCCACAGCTAATGTCTTAACAGACTTAATGATCCGAAGGATGTTATTGGTTGATTAATATGGGGACTAAGTCCCCAATTACATTAAGAAAATCAATAAAATTTAATAAATTATAAAAAAAAAAAATATATACTTATAATGTATGACATGATTGTATGAACTCAAAATCGTTTTTTTTCTAACTTTTTTATTTTCCCACATTTGCGCAGATATCTCTTTCTTTCTTCCCGTCTCGTTTGCCACGATATTTTGAGTAAAATATAGGAAGCCGAAGGAGCATCATATTGTTTCCCCCAAATTTTTTGTTTTTGATTATTGAAAGAACACTGCCAGTTAACATGGTTAAACAATTAAAGTAAATTCCTTACATTTTAAAATGATTCTGGAGCTCATTCAACATACGATTTTATAGCAAATAAAATGTGTTCTCTTAGGAAACTCATACCTGTCAACTGACCCAGATCCTGCAGGTGTGACCCGAGATTTTCACAATTATGAGGGGTCACCCGGAACACCCGCCGGGGGTTCATTCCTCCTATTCCCACTTTTTTCAAATCTGGTAAGAAAAGTTAAATTTTGATGTGGGAATAGGGGGAAAACTTGTGCAAACAAAGGATTATACTGTATAAACATTGTTTAATCAACTTTTAATTGACAAGTGTTTTTAGGACAGGTAATAGGTTATTTTTGTATGTGTATGAATTCTGTTTTTTTACTTAAAACAAATATGAAAGAAATGGAAACAAATATAAGTAAACTATTTTTTTTCTTTTATAACACAATTCAACCGTAGATTCAAGCAAGTATCATACATTGTAATATGGAAAAAATAATTCAACGGCACTAAAACAAATGACATATTGTAGCACACACATTAGAAATTCACTGTATATAAGTCTATTGAAGTTTATTAATCTATTCTACGCAAAGAAGGTGGGAGGCTGCATCACCAAACTGTTCTGTTGTGACTTCCTGGTTGCGGTGTCTAACCTTAAGCTCTTCTAAATATGTTGTTGACTTCGAAATACTTTCGTTTTTGGGCTACTCCCTTCCCACCGGCTGCATACTGGATCATGGTCAGGGCGTTGAAAGCTTCCTCAGGTTTCAGTAAGGTTTCAGTAGTTTTATGAGTTTAAAGATGTTTGGATGTGGGTGCTGGATTTTTTCAGCTTGGATAACTCAGTCAGTTAAAATCAATAAAATCTGATTGCTGTCCATTTATTATTCATGCTTAGAAGTAAAGTGAACAGTTTTCACCCATTATTTCACATCTTAAGATTATATTTTGTTATAATATTATCTATCATCCATTTATTTGTTCAGATGACAATTTTTTAAGTTTACAAATTCAATGATTTTTTAATCTTAGTTCTATTCATCTGACTTATTCTTTATTTTTAAGTAATTCTTTGAAGAAAAAAAAAAACATCTTACAAATAAACATTGTATAGAATTTTTTTTTTTTTAAATATTATACTTAAACATTGTAAGAAATATGTTTTCTTTAAAAATAAAATACAGGTAAATCTTAGATGAATTTTTAATTAACCTTGATTGTTATAAAAACAAACTATTTATCAAAACATCTATTGTTATTTGCATGTGGGAATAGAAGGAATAGCGATTTTTAAAAAACGGGAATAGGAGGAAGACACCCCGCCGGGTGACCAAATAACCCGGGAATTCGGAAAATAACCCGTTTTCACCCGGATTCCTTAGCCTTCAGACTGATTAGATATAAAGTGATTTCAATGAAATACCGGCAAATTCGTAATTCTTCCTGGACAAGAAGTTCAACTAGCTGTGTAAACTCAGCTCAGTTTGTATGCGTTATGACCTGAGATTTCATTCTTCTATGCAGGTCATCACCTGCACTTTCATTGTCATAGGTTGACAGGTATGGAAACTTACCTGATCAATCAATCAAATTTCAGTATCTGATAAGAATAACAAGCTGACTTGGTATCTTCGTTGATTAAAGAAAATGATAACCATTTTATTTTAATAATGCTTTGATACAAAAAAAAAAGCAACCTGATGATAGTGTTTCTGTTTTTACATTGAAAATGACGTCACACCTAAAATACACCTTATCGCTATTTGTCCGCCATTACTGGACATCACACAAGTTCACGTAAAACTTTGACGTCATAATAGAAAATATCTGACGCCACAATGGAAAAGTGATTGTTGTATGACGTCAAAAGTTCGAGCGGGACTGATTCTCAGGTCAAGCGGGATTAGCGATAAGGTGTATACATGTATCTAACATGTCTAACATCAGGACTTGAACATTGAAAACGTTTCCGTATTTCAGTTTCTTTTTCAACAGATTCTGGTTAAAATATGCTTAAAAGTTAAATAATTTATACAGACTTCGTCCTCTTTCTGTAAGGGGTCCGAAAAAGACACAGGTCCAAAAAGGAAAAGGGCTTCTATTTTGTAAATAAAACATATACATTGTATATCAGTACTGCCAGGTTTTCATGAAGCAAATGCTTGAGATTTGTCCCAAATTGTAAAGATCAAAGGAAAATGCCGCCAAATAAGTCTTAATGGTGAGTCTCACGCTAATTAGACTTGGCAGCCCTGAATTATATCTTCAATACGGGGACGGTACAGAAGACTATTTCTGTAAAAGCCCAACAGGGGATCGAGCTAACGACCTCCAACATTCGAGGTATATGCATTGAAATGATTTCTTTTCGGAATCTATCTATAACCTAATTCAGTATTTCATAATAAACTAGTATAGGCAAGTACCAATTTTTTTCTTTCACTCCAGCTGCCATCAGGGGAATCTAAGTAAGGGGAACGCGAAAGCAATGATAATATGCTGGAGAGATGTCTTCTTCTCTGGGTAAATTCCTCCGCAACGGAGCACCCGTGTCACACGGTAAACAAAAAAAAAACCCTTATTTTCATTTAATATTGTTTAAAAACATGGAACGGACTAGATTAGTATATATACAATCCTTAAAAAAAATATTGTTGTCCTAAAATCACGTAGTAATGTAAAGTCTATTATAAAAATATTTACACCTACTATTTTATGTACATTAAGCATAAAATATTGTTAGTTAAGATATCTTAAAACAGAGACATATAATTTTGTTGTATAATATGTCTCTGCTTAAAAGCACAGATCTAAAAGGAGTGAAATAGATTTAATAGTAAAAACTAAAAGGACATACTTCAGTTTATTTATTTCTTGAAAAAAATAAAATGATAAATAAAAATATAGATTACTATTTAATGGTCTGGGATTTATCGTTACTATGTACACCACTAAAATTAATAATAATTAGGCCTATTAGTTTACTGTACAGAATTTATATCAGTATTTTTATATTATACCAGTTGTTCTACAGTTCAATATCCAATTGGATTAAAGGAATCATAGAACTTTTATAAAATCTAAAATATTTAATCTTCCACATTACTAATTTAGGCTGTTTAAAATCTAAAATATTGAATTTTCCTTTTTGTGTTACTTTGTCCATTTAAGTTTCCTCTTAAGTTTCCTTTTAAGATATTTGTCTGATAATTAACTAACTTTATTTTTTTTTTTTTTAAATTTCTAGTTATTTAGTCTTTGCACCCGCGGGGTCTTTTGCCTCAAACTGCCTTGCTACAGCTATCCTTTTGTGTAATAATGTTCTTCCACAATGGAGGTCATAGCACAGTTTTCTGCTTATTCTTTCTATCTCTGTTGAAGTTTCTTCGTTGAAAATTAGAATATTTTCCCGTAATTTGCTTGAGTCAATAATTACTTGCATTAGTAATTCTTTGTTTCCAGTAAAGTGTTCTTGCCACTTATTCTGGCCTATATTGCACATTATAGCTTGTTTAAGTGCAGGAAACACTTTTTGACGTTGTTCATTTAATGCTGGGCATCTTAGTAGGAAATGTATTAAGTCTTCCTGTTCTATTTGACACAGCAGGCATTTTTGCTCATCACTATTTCCATTAAACCTTTGAATATGTTCTTGTAATAGGTATGTTCCTGTCAGAAACCTAGCTTTAATGTTCGCCTTTTTGACCTCGTATGTTACTGGAGGTAAGGTTATCCATACGGGATGGGCTTCATGTATCTTAAGTATTTGGATGTTACAATGTTTCAGTGTGGATTTTTCTTCCATTTCTTTTTGTAAGAAGTTTGACCACTCATCAGCAATGGTCCTGTTAATATCTTTTTTTTTCCAACGGATTTTTGAGGGCAGATGTTCTTTAAATTCTGCTATTGATGGTAGATTGTAGAAATTCAGGATTTCTTGTGCTCTTGAAAAGAAGCTGTCAGAGTTCCCTGCATTTACCGTCATCTGTCGTTCCATTACATTTTTCAGCTTTGTGTTTTCTGATGCTAGTATGGAATACAAGAGACTCAACTGTCTTTTGTACAACTCTGCCTTAATCGGAAGGGCTCCTAATAGCATATAAACTGCTGCACTAGATGTCCTAATTGGCAATGATTGGAAGCATCTGAGAGTTTTGAGGTGGAATTGCTTTAAATCTGACATTTGGGTGGCATTCAGTGATAGTACTTCTAATCCGTATAGCAGTCTTGGGAGCACATAGGCTTGATATATTTTGTATGCTGTTATAGGGTTTAGCCCTTCTTGTCCATTTAGTCCAACAGAAATTAAAGTATATAGTGTCCTCCTGGCTACACTGATATGTTCTTGTATATTCAGTTTTGTTTCGTTCTTACTTGCTCTGATGATGCCAAGATGGGTTGTCTGTTGGTCTTCTTTTATTGGTTTTTCTCCAGAGTTATAGGATGTTGTTGTTTGCTTGTTTATATCCTCTCTGTTTTGATAAGTGTACTCTTTTCCGGATGAATATTGTAGCGATGCTGACAGGAAAATTTGTAGGCAATATTTAACATTGCTTGGATTTCTGTTTCATCTGTTGTCATTAATACAATATCATCAGCGCATAATGGACTTCCACAATATTCAAGACCTATATCTAGTCCTAACCCTCTTCTTTCTAGCTCTTCAGGTAGTTCATTTATATATAACTTGTATAAATGGGTTGATAAAACTTCCCCTTGCCTTACTCCTTAGTTTATTGAAAATTGCTTGCTTAGATGGCTGTTCCATTTAATTTTTGATGACGTATTGCTATATAAATCTTGAACCACTCTCCAGATGTCTGGTGGCAATTCATAAAAGAGTTTTTCCATAAGAATCATGTAGTGGACGACGTCAAAAGCTTTCTGACTGTCAAGTGTAGCTAGGAACATTTCAGGTTTTGTTGCTTTGCATGGACTATGCCCTCTGAAACTATTAATGCTGCCATAATCGGAGATAGTCCTTGTGCAAATCCGAATTGTAGCTCTGATTGGTTGCTATTTAGAGCTATCATTTTGTCTAGTAAGGCATATTCAAATACTTTCCCTAGGGCCGATGGAACAGTTATTCCCCTATATTTTGTTGGTAGGGTGGAGTCCTTTCCTTTTTTGTGTACAGGTGTCAAAATTCCTGTTTTGAACACTTTAGGTATTTCTCCTGTCTGCATTATGTTGTTAAATAGAGACACTATATTTGGGCTTATGCTTCTACCTGCATATATGAAATGTTCTGCTGTGAGTGAGTATTCGTCTGCTGTTTTTCCAGAGTTGAGCTTGTCTACTGCTTTTATTATTTCCTCCTCACTAAATATTGTGATGTTACATGTATCTATTTGATGTTTAATAATGTTGTTCATTAACTCTAGTCTGTACTTGCTCTCCTCTATGTAATCCTCGTCATAATGCTCCTCATTTGATGGAACTGCTGGCTTTTTATAGTAGTCTGCAAATATACGTGACTGTTCTTCTGGATTCATGACTTCTTCTTCATTCTCATTCTTAATTACTTTGGAGTTTGCATCTTTGGGTTCATGCTTGTTTCTTCTGATCAGTATATGAAAAGCTTTTGAATCAGGTTTATCCATCAGCTTGTTATAAAAGTTTTGTTTATCAATATGGTCTTCTTTTCTTATCTGTTTCCTTAGTTCTCTTTTATGTTTTTTCATTTCTTGATATTCTGTATTTTCTTCATTCTTTGGTCGATCTTTTTGCTTCAATGCATAGAATACTTTTTTGTTCTTTTCTATACATTCCTTTACTTTTGGCGAGGCTTTCCACTTTGGTCCTTTCAGGGCAACTATTTTCTTAACAACACTCAATTCAGTAGCTTCCTGTAAAATGTCTATGATATTAATTACTTGTTGTTCTACATCAGTTTCATTTGGCATTTCAGTCTTCTTCCTCACTTGATTTACTTTTTGTTGGTAATTTTCTATGTTTGTTTCTTCCCATTTCAGAATAGTTTTCTTTTTGCTTGTTGTGCTGATCATCTTAGTTTCCCCCTTAACGATCAGATTGGTTTTTGCCTTTACTGGTACATGTGCTGAACTGTTAAGGGGATTTTGGTCCATAATCGTTGAATCCAAAAGATTACTGCCTCTGAAGTTCTCTAGGATGTAATCTATCTGCGAAGTGGAATTTCCATTATGGTGATAAAAAGTAGGTTTGTGAGCATTTCTAACTGTATGCTTTAGCTGATGTTGACTGCAGAAGTTCTTAAGCAGTTTGTCATGGTTATTATTTCTACTTTGCATGAGTGTTCCATTCAAATCCCCCACTATGAAGACATTGTGTGTTTGCTCATATTTATCAATCATTGACGAAATTTTATCCAGATGTTCTCTGTACTCTTTGTCTGATCCTGTTGCCATTGTTGGCATATAGCTATTAATTAGGATTACTTTAACATGTTCAGATTGAATTTCTATGACTATTATTCTTTCTTCTTTTTCTAGCTTCCTGACCTTATGTGAGATTGTTTGAGGCCATATAGTTATTACTCCCCCTTTCCCCCTTCTTCTTTGTAGTTCCAAATCAATTAGATTATCATCAAAGCTTGAGATATGATAGTCGCAGTCTGGCCGAATTTCTTTTAGTGCGACTGATTCATATCCGTGTAACCAATGTTCTTGCAAGCATAGAATTGAGTTTGTTTGTAAAAGTTCTTTCAGATATACCTTGTTGCCTTTGATTCCCTCAATGTTCATTGAGACAATATCTAGCATTGTCTCAGTAGTATTTCGGTCTCCTGTCCTAGTTTTTGGATGTCTGGTGGTTCCTTTGGTTGGCTTATTTTGCCTAAAAAATGCTGTTTTGGCTTTTCTTCTTCTGTTGAATGTTGAGGAAGGTTCATTGAAGGATGGTAAACATGTTGATCATTTGGAACTGTTATTTCAGTGTCAGGAGTTGCAGTAATTGTTGGTGTTTCTTTTAGGTTTTGTTCTTCATTTAGCAGAGACTCTGGATTTGTAAGTTTATCAATTGCTTGGGTCAGTTTAATTTCTGTTTCGGCATGCCTTAGCGGACTTAAGCTACCTTCTGAGTTGGACTTTTCTTTTCTTTGCCCATTGTCACTGTGTCTTTCCACTGATATTTTATTATGGTAATAGAGATTACTATTCTGTTGATAAGGTGGTGGTGGAGCTCTCGGCAGTCCTTGTCTAAGTAGATCATCTTGATGCACTGAGTTGTAGTGTTTTGGATCAATTTGACTGACTTGGTCTTGCCTTGAATGAAACTGGAGTTGACCGTTTAAATAAGATTGACCTTGCCCATTATTATGTCATTTGAATCTCTTTGAATTTTACCCTATCTTATGAGTAAATGTTAGAGATTATCGAAAAATAATTCGTATCTTGCCATTGGTTTAAAAACCTTTGTAAATAAAGTTATAACATAAATATTTATATATTTGAACCCTATTATTCTAAAATTATAAGGTCAGCTATTTTTTTTTCACCTACGTTTATTTATGATCTAGAAAATAGTGGACAATCTGTGTATCATA